TCACATCGCAAGAGTGCATACGCATCTGCACGTGTACGTACTATATACAGCTTAGAGGGTGGTGAGGGCTTACACCAGCAGCTACCAGCAGCTGCAGGTGTCCTCTCTACAATATGCCTCAGGTATGCACGCGTACACCACCCCGGCCCGTCAACACCACGCTCCGGTGTGCGTGTGCGCGTCACTGCGCGACAGCGAGCGTGAGTGTTTGTAAGTGCGTACGCGTGTGCATGTGCGTGTGTGCTTATGTGTGATTTTGGTTTGTCTATATATTATATATTAGGCATATATATATATATATATATATATATCAAGAGCTAATAATACCTAGAGTGTACAACGGAAAAACGGGAAAATAGTGCTATTTCACGACTACATTATTCTACTTTGCCTGCGAGTCTAGAATAATTTCATGGTATTGCATTAAGCAGAATTCCTTGCTCTCTACAACAAGACCAACCGCTTGTCAATACGATACTCCTAGGCGGAGATATCGGCTCCTAAACCTCCCCTCCCACATGCCTTACGCCGCTTCGCATCCACTTTATTCAGCAACCTACACGCGTCTAAGCATTTTGGCTATCGGTTTCCGTCACCGCTTGGAGCGCTGATAATTGATGTCACATGCCCAAATTTGGTACTGTTACTACACCATATAGTAACTGAGCTGCGTTGTAAAAACTTGATGGAGCCGGCTCCACCATGACGGGCATTAGCCGTGCTAGGAAAGATAATGGAAGATAAGGGCATAGGCGATGCCCCCGAAAGTCATCTATGATAACCGAAGCACCGTTCATTCATAAAGTTATCGCGGAAAAACCGAACTTTCACGAAGCAATGCTTAGACGCGTGTAGGTAGCTGAATAAAGTGGATGCGAAGCGGCGTAAGGCATGTGGGAGGGGAGGTTTAGGAGCCGATATCTCCGCCTAGGAGTATCGTATTGACAAGCGGTTGGTCTTGTTGTAGAGAGCAAGGAATTCTGCCTAGACTCGCAGGCAAAGTAGAATAATGTAGTCGTGAAATAGCACTATTTTCCCGTTTTTCCGTTGTACACTCTAGGTATTATTAGCTCTTGATATATATATATATATATATATATATCTTTCCCTCTGTGCCTGCCTCTGATAGAACGCCCTTATTTATTAGGCATAAGGCCAGGGCCACAATCGGCGGTGTGTATGTTCATACGATATTGGTTACAAGTGCGTGAGTGATCTCGCGATCTCTCTTCTCGTCACCGTTACGTCGCGAGCACCAATGCGACAAACCGCGCTGCTGTGTCTCCCAGTGCATTATGATCAAACGCTCATTTGTACCTTATCGAAATGTAGTTACCTATACGCGCACATCCTGACGTGAAGGAGTTTTTGATATGACAAGCATAAAGTGATGATTACGATTTCATGATCGATCCATCACTGACGTACGTCGTATATGTAGGCCCCTATGTGCTGTACACGAACGGCCGCAAGTATTCGCTTTCAATCGCCCTTCCCCCCTCCTTTCCCACCCTAGCACGACTCGCGCTGCCCTACTCTCAATTTCTGCAGATAGCGCCGCACGCAATTCACTTGCAATTCAATTGCAGGCGGCAATTTCTCGGCCCGCTCGTTTTCCGCAAATGCGCGCGCGCAGACGAAAAAAGGTTTTGAAAATCGCGGAAGAATAGCCATGTGCGCTAGAGTAATGGCGTCTCAACCACCACTCATGTCTCACCCACCACTCACGTCTCACCCACCACTCACGTCTCACCCACCACTCACGTCTCACCCACCACTCACGTCTCACCCACCACTCACGTCTCACCCACCACTCATGTCTCACCCACCACTCACGCCCTCGTCCACGGAGGCAGATGACTGCACACTCAGAATGCTGGCGAGCAAGCTTTGGTGAGGTATGGCGGAGGGGTGCGTGTATACCAGCCGAATGCGTGCGTATATATATAGCATGATTGTACTACAGGAACGCGCAACTAGCTACTGATACTACGACTACTGATACTACTACTACTGATACTACTGATACTACGACTACTGATACTACGACTACTGATACTACGACTACTGATACTACTACTACTGATACTACTACTACCAAGAGTAAGATAATATAGGATTCTATATTAGGATCCATTATATATAGGATCCTATATTATCTTACTCCTGCTACTACTGATACCAGGAGTAAGATAATATGTATCCTTATGTATGTTATCTTACTCCTGCTGATACTACTACTATTACTGCTGATACTGTTGGTGCTGCGATTTGACATCATTTTTGTGAAGAAAATACAATAACGCAGATACCGTAGTTATGGAAAATGAGGTATTCTCTTCCTACAACAGACACCTTCCTTCTATTTAATGATTAAAACACGATTTGTTAATTTTTTAATCACTATAGTATTTTCGAATAACCCCCAAAAAAGTATCTGGACGAAAATTGCAAGCGCAGCGGCCCGTCGACGTTTAAAAAATTATATATGATAATAAATAAAGGGTGATGGGATCATGCCACGTATCTACTTTTATTTTTTTACTCTTATTTGGCTGATAACAAGGGCATGGCCATAATGGAAGTGGTAGCTTGTGATAAAATTCCATTACTTTTTATAAGTAATGCTTCTTTTAATTTCGTAAACTTTTCCATGAAGGCAAAATCCACGCTGGAACCCTGAGCAATAATTGAAACGTTGATAGGGCAAACGTTCGAATTGCTGATTTCAGACAAGCAAGCATGCAGTGTGTACCATACCAGCTTTACACCGCAAAGTCTCTCATGCTTGCAACTCGTTAATTAAAAAAATGCTGAGAAACTGTTTCGATAAGTTTACATTTACGCTCACAGTTGTAATGAACTGGATCCCAGGTTCATACATGACGCCTGGCGACAACGTAGCCGAACAACTATACCGTCGAGGTGGGTGCCGGTGGGCCATTACCGTACTTATGGTGCACTGGTGCACTAACTCCACATAATAAGCACATTGCCTGTCTACTAATAGTAGATTATTGTGCTAACAATAACGTCACCGAGAAGACGAAGGAAAAAATAAGTAGAAGAAATAAGGAGGAGAAAAAACAAAGAAGAAGAATGAAAAAGAAGAATGAGAAGACAAAGCAGAAGACGACGAAGAAGATGAAGAAGAAAGAAGAAGGAAGAAGAAAAAAGAAGGAAGAAGAAGGAAGAAGAAGGAAGAAGGAAGAAGAAGGAAGAAGAAGGAAGAAGAAGGAAGAAGAAGGAAGAAGAAGGAAGAAGAAGGAAGAAGGAAGAATAAGGAAGAAGAAAGAAGAAGGAAGAAGAAGAAGAAGAAGAAGAAGAAGGAAGAAGAAGGAAGAAGAAGGAAGAAGGAAGAATAAGGAAGAAGAAAGAAGAAGGAAGAAGAAGGAAGAAGAAGAAGAAGAAGAAGCAGAAGAAGAAGGAAGAAGAAGGAAGAAGGAAGAATAAGGAAGAAGAAAGAAGAAGGAAGAAGAAGGAAGAAGAAGAAGAAGAAGAAGCAGAAGAAGAAGGAAGAAGAAGGAAGAAGGAAGAAGGAAGATGGAAGAAGAAGGAAGAAGGAAGAAGAAGGAAGAA